CTTCCTCCAGAAGAATCTGCTACCTGCGCATTATTTGCCAGAACTATGAAACTTATGTCCCATTTCACTATTCAAAAAACATTTAATTGATCCTTGTTTTTGTGTGCATGAATTTTTTTCTGGTGGCTCACAAAATGAGATATTTAGCCGAATGTTCAAGCTGCACTTTTTCATACAATAAAATTGTATGTGGACCATTGGAATAAGCTGCATCAACAGTTTGCAGTTACGACGAACCCTTCGAAAGATGACAAACATGCCATTCACTATGTGTTTATAATTTAGAGAGAGAGAGAGGAAGCAAGAAGGATTTAATCTATTTGAAGATTCTTATTCTCAGAAAAGGCAGCATCCCCTTTTGTCCTCATTTTATCAAGTAGCCTAATTACTTCAGTCTTTGTATGAAAAGATGTCTTCAAGTTGACTCATTGGGCAGTATAGCTGTTATTCCTATGGTTTCTGAAAGAACCTTAGTTGAACTTGAGGATAATTGAGATGATGATGCTTATGCTCAATGCATATTGCTAATTAGTATTTGCGGTGGTTTGTTTAATCCAGTGGCGGAGCCAGGATGTTTTCATAGGGGTGGCCAGGGAGGGGCCAGCAACCAGTCTGGGGTGGCACAAAAATCTTCATTATTTCAATATAAAAATGTGTTTGACTATAATGTACTGGACTGGTTTAGTGTCTAAAACACAACTGAGTACAATTAATTTCTACTTAACTGTAATTGAGATATTTGTGCTTTAGATCAAGTAATACTGAGTGAATATGACAACTTTTGTGTTATTCCTCAACTCTAGGTATTTTAATAAAGGGGCTCACTATAGCTTTATTGCTCAGTCAGCTTCTCAAAACTCCCAAATACTTGCTCTCCAACATTGCATACTCATGGATGAGACATGCAGTGATAAAAATTTGAAAAAGGCCGTAAGTCAACAGTAGACATAAATGCCAGAATATAAAATGAGTTATTTTATGCATTTAAATGGTTTCATTTTCGCATATTTTCTAGTATAAGTGCACTGTGCTCACATGTATTTGTGCATTAAATTACAAATAAAAAATACAGGTTACACTTTATTTCGATAGTCCACTTTACATTCTATTAACTATAAGTAACTTTGTAACTACATGTCAACGAGCAGTGTCTATATGTGTCCACACTACAGAGTGTAAATGTTACACTTTTGATAGTGTTAACTTTCTGACACCCTTTGCGTGTAAATTCAACACTCGTTATTGTTAATCGTTAAACCTATTCAACACTATTCATTGTTGTTTCTGCAGATCACTGTGGAATCTGAACTTTCTGATTCCACTGATGAAAATGACGACTCAGAGCATGAGGGCTCAGAGAAATCGGTCTCAGCTTGCGGAACATTATCTTAGAATCACATAGAGCACACAAGACAATTGAACATTAAAAACGAAATATTTTTATTTTTTAAAGCTAATAGCAGTTACCCTTGCTGGACCTGTTTTGTCCCAGGTCTCAAGAATGACTGATATACATGCGCAGTTTGCAGCTTTAATCGCCTTTTTGATAATTTCATGATTTAGCTGACGACAGAACTAGGTATGTATGCTCATAGTTTCTTGTGCGGGTTATTTGTGATGAAGTGATATAGAGCGTGCACCACATATTTGCTTACTGTTGAAGAGTGTGTGCCGTGAGCACAGTAAAACGGCTGATGGGACAGGAAAGTGTGTTTTACTGACGTATAATCTAACAACATCTCATCAGACCGCAGTACACAGTTGTTCTACTGAAGTTCTTTTGATTGCTGTAGCTTTTCCGTGCTCGTTTGACTCGCGCCTGACGCTGAGATGAAGCTGAAGTATGCGTCTGAAAATTCTCCCGTTTGATGTGGACATAAAGAGATACGGCGGTTCCGCATCTTATAAATGCATTTCTTGTCAAGAAAAAAAGGGACAAAAACTGCAGTTTTGAGTGGGGTGGCCACGACCACCCCCTGGCTCCACCCCTGGTTTAATCCATTTAAGACACAGTGCTCATGACAGCAAGGTCACTTGAGCTGAGTAAATTCAGTCGTCTCAAGTATAATTAACATCTTAACAAAGATGGCACACAGTGTGCTGCCATATCTCGATTTTTGACCTTCTTAACTGATAGCTTCCAATATTTTATTTATTTATTTCCATGCATGAGCGTTTTATTTTACACCAAAATTGCATGCAACTGAATTGATGTGTCTGTATTATTATCCTGACACTTTCATATAATCAGATTTACATTTAATTAACGTTTTTGTCTGTGGGTCAATGACAAATAAGATACAGAAAAGGAAAAAAATCTAGTTTAGCGCTGAGATCTTAGAAATGTGCTCTTTGCATTCATATTGGATTCATCTGGTTCTGAGAAATTTACATTTACATCTATTATGTTTACATTTATTAACTAAATAGAAAAGTGAAAAACTATTATGTGGTGTAACCATCAGGGAATTTTTTTTCCCCTTGCATTTGAATACATGTGTGTACTACACAGCTTAATCATTATTTTCAAAAGGTTTTCACACACACACACACACACACACACACACATATATATATATATATATATATAGTATATTGTATTATTATTAGGGCTGTCAATCGATAAAATTTTTTAATCTAATTAATCACATCCTTTTTCTGTGATTAATTGCGATTAATCGCACACTTCATGAAATTAAGCATAGACCATTTATCTTGTTTCAAATGTTTATTTTGTCATCA